GCTGTGTGTGTGTGTGTGTGTGTGTGTGTGTGTGTGTGTGTGTGTGTGTGTGTGTGTGTGTGAATTCACTTCTCACACTGACTCATTATGAGACGCGTAAGAGGAAGACCATGCTGTATCACATCCCATCTGAAACCCATATGAGACTCAGTGGCACCTCAGAAATCCCCAGCACTGATTATGTTTATGATGCCAAATGGATAGTGATCTAAATTATAATCATAACACGGGTTGATGAGAAACAGACATGGACGTGTTTTTGTTGTCATCATTGAGGTTTTCAGTAGTCCTGCTGTTTATAAAGTGCAAATTGTTAATTGTATCATTGACAGTAAGTCTTATAAACCACGAGCACATTGTAAAAGGAGCTGTTAAAATAGCTTTCGATGGAGTTAGATTCACACAAACTGGTCTAATGTTTATTAATGCTGAAAATATCTTTATTATGCATAGGCATCACACTGGAGGACTGAGTAATTGTATTTATTTTTTACTTATCTATTTATTTGACTAGCTTTATTTATTTTTGATGTACTGTTTATTTTTCATTTGTTTGTTTAAACTTATTTATTATTAATTTACTACATTTTTGTCTATTTTTAAAGTATAATTTCACGATCAAATGTTTGACTCATTTGATAGTACCACTCTATTTAAATAACGTTTGTATTTTCATTGTACAATTTCCAAATAAATTTGAACAGATAATAGTGTGTTTATGGACAAAATCAGTGTTCTTTGCTGTAAATGAATGAATAAACACAAAGCCTTTTTCTCTGAGGACATTAAAATTACACGTCACACCAACTTCTTGTGTACATATGGGCTATTTGAGTATAGCATAGTGCATCTTCAGCTATTGTGTATCTCACCACTGGTGACTGTTATCCAGATCTGTGAGGTGTAATCCGGCAGCAGAGCGATATCTACACCACACCAGTACTTTCCAGAGTCTTCTGGAGCCAGTCTAGAGATGTTTGCCGTGAGAACATGAGTGCTGGTGTCATCCAGAAGAGCCAGACTCGCTCCTTCAGACCTGGACTCTGGACACTGAAGATCTCCTGGAGCAAACGAGCCGCTCGTCTGGCAGAAGTACTTGCTGTTATTCTGGTAGGTTTCAGGATAGCTGCAGGAGACTGAGATGTTGCTCCCCACAGATCCAGTGATGCTGAATTGTGGTGTTTATCAAGGACATCAAGCACAGTGAAGAGTAAAAAGTGCCATTCTCACACACTGAATATATTATGACGGATGTTGTACCTGAGAAACTGATGGACGTGGAGGTTCTCATGCCTGCTTCAACCTCAACTCACACTACCTGTTCTCACACTAAATACAAGATAGATATTATCTGTGTGTGTGTGTGTGTGTGTGTGTGTGTTACACTTCCCTAATGCACATGGATCAGTAAACACAAACACAGTCTCAGTCTGAGCTGAAAAGCAGCTCCCTCTTCAGGGCAGCGGAGGTAAAGTCTGGCCATCCTCAAGGTTAGAAGATTGATTTATAATTTACTGTTTTTAATTTATTAATCTGTATTTGATTTATTTATTGGTTTTATTTACAGTTTTAATTTAACTTATTTGATTATTTTTAATTCAATTTGTTTCTTTTCATGTATTTTTTTTTTCATATTGAGTGTTTTAATTAAATTTGTTTATTTCTCTTTTTAAGTAATTCATTTTTGACTTTATGTATTTATTTAATTTTTTTATTTCACTTATTTAGTTTTGATTTACTGTTTTGATTTTATTTTTTTATTTGATTATTTTATTTATATATTGTAGCCTGATTATTTTATAAGGCAAAGCAATTACATGTTCCTGCCTCAAAGAAATACATGATTATAATTGGACCTGCATCTAAAAGTGCATTTTGATGTTATTGTGCAAACACTTACTGTCTATAAAAATGAAGAAGTACTTTTCTGTGAAGAAAGAAAAACATTGAGTGTTCAGGAAACTGATTAACACCATCTGACCATGTGACAGCAAATTCCCCTGTTACTCTGAAAGCTTCATAGTGTCATTTGATTATTATCTGTAAGCTGCAGTCATGTATTTAGACATTTTTTATCATTATTCCTGAATGCGTTATTTGTATTTTATTTGTGTATTTAGAAAGTGCTTTAATTAGTGTGAATCTTTTGTAAGTGGTTTCGTTTGGGTTGTTCCTGTCTTGTTACGGGGCAGGCCGTTAAAAATAGACTTTAAAAAAGGGAAGGAAAAAACTGTGTAAAACAGCAGAAGAACATTTTCAGCTTGCATTTGCAGTTTCACTCTCCTGGAATCTATTAGCTGAAACTACAACACGGTAAGAGTTACGCTCATTCCGTAATTAATACTGTCTAACTAATGAATCTCCAGTCACACAAGAAACTTAAAGTCAGAGAAATGTTCTTTCATAACCTCTGGACACCTAGTGTTCATATGTACTTGATTTTCAACAGTTAAAAACAGTGAAGATTATAAAGAAGTTTTATAATTTTTTAGTGTTTATAGTGCAATATACTGATGTTATGTTAATGAAACTAAAGATGATGCACTGTTGTATATTATATTGTTTCCTGCAGCGATGTCACGGTTTACAGTTCCTCCTCTTCCTCTGGTGTTTCTGCTCATGATTCCAGGTGAGTCTCTCCTGTAAATAAAGGGACAAAGATCATGGCTGGTTAATATGATCCAGGTAGCCCTGTTGGTAGCCCCAATATTGTCAAATGAGTGGGTTAAAAGTGCCCCAATTTATATATATATCTATATATATCACTGTTAAAACTTCTAGGGGTGAATTCAGATAAATTGGGGCACTTTTAACCCACCTATTTGACATTTTAGTTAACACTTGTTGCAGGATGTTGTCGGTTAGTGTGGTTTAAGATCTTCTGCGAATATTACACTTATCTCATGAGTAAGTTCTGTATTTTCATAAACACCAGTTTTGTATTTAAAAAAAAAGTTTGCATGAACTTTTATGGTCCTGCCGGACTCATAGACTGGTGCTTTCATTATTTCTTTGTGAATGTGTGTTCCAGGTGTTTATGGCCAGTATGGTTGGGATGTGAGTTACAGCTCTACACACATCTGTGCACTGAAGGGGTCAACAGTGACAATGAGCTGCACTTTTAGATACCCTACTGGATATCAGATCATAGAAGCATTTTGGACCAAAACACAAGTTAAAGAGAAACATGAAGAGTTTCCAGATCTGTCTAAGGATCCTGAATACAGTCAGAGGCTTCAGTATCTGGGAGACAAACAGCAGAACTGCACCATCAGACTGAGTCATGTAACACAGAAGGATGAACACATGTACTGTTTCAGATTCATCACTGATAAACCTGATGGAAAATGGCTTGGTTATCCAGGAGTGACTCTTACTGTCACAGGTGACTTTCATGAGGCTGAGCTCTTCTTCTGTGCATTATGTTGAATAATAATCAGTGTATGACAGCAGCACTAGATATAATGTGTGTGTTGTGTTCAGATCTTCAGGTGGAGGCTCCTGAGAGAGTGACAGAGGGTCATAATGTCAGTCTGACATGTAAAAGCAGCTGCACTCTGACTGACAGAGCAACATTCATCTGGTACAGAAACTCACAGCCATTAACTGAGAGAAGAGACGGAAACAATCAACTCCTGCTGCGCTGCACCATCAGACTGAGTCATGTGACACAGAAGGATGGACACATGTACTGTTTCAGATTCATCACTGATAAACCTGATGGAAAATGGCTTGGTTATCCAGGAGTGACTCTTACTGTCACAGGTGACTTTCATGAGGCTGAGCTCTTCTTCTGTGCATTATGTTGAATAATAATCAGTGTATGACAGCAGCACTAGATATAATGTGTGTGTTGTGTTCAGATCTTCAGGTGGAGGCTCCTGAGAGAGTGACAGAGGGTCATAATGTCAGTCTGACATGTAAAAGCAGCTGCACTCTGACTGACAGAGCAACATTCATCTGGTACAGAAACTCACAGCCATTAACTGAGAGAAGAGACGGAAACAATCAACTCCTGCTGCAGTCAGTCAGAAGAGAGGATGCAGGCAGATACAGCTGTGCTCTACATGGACACAGTTACACATCACCTGATGTGCAGCTGAATGTCAGATGTGAGTATATTCTTTAAAGGTTCGCTTCACTCGTCCCTCCTTTTCTTTAAAACAGCATAAATCAGGTTTATAAGTGACACGTACAATGGAAGTAAACAGGGCCGATCCCTAAACATTCAAAATACTCATTATTTAAATAGTACATCCACAAGATGTGAAAACAAATGTGTTAACATGATTTTAGTTTGAAAGAATGCTTTAAAAATGTATACAAAATTGTACAACTTCGTTGCTTCCCATAACAATGCAAAGGAGCTGTCACATTTACCGTTGGTCTGTGAAATTCCGTGGGTGAAATCACAGCAACGTCCCCAGTGTTAAATTAACAGTGTTAGTGTTAACAGACCATTAAACTGGGTAACATAGGACTCTGGGAACATGGGTAAGCTCCCATCTGTGATTATATTGCCCGTGTGTTGTAAAAAACAGATTAAACACATTACAGACAGACCCCAAAGCGGAGGCATTGTAAAATTTTGAGCAGCACTGAGTGAAGTTCTGTCATTGTAGTGGATGTTCACGAGGGAGGGGATTTCATGTGAGGGAGAAAAAGTTCCCAGCACAGATTTCACTCTTTTTTTTTTTTTTTTTTTTTCGTGTATTTGCTGCGCTGACCAACACCTGCACGTGTTTTTGCATCAAAAATTTTGGCAGCACTTAAGCCCTGAAATGACTGCAAAAATAATGATTTAAGCAATAAAGTCAGTCTGGTTAGTAATAAGTGAAGCTGCTGCGGCTGTTTGTGGAGTGGTTTATTCCTCCTCTGCTGAGGTCTTGAGAGATGTAATGTGCTTTATTTCAGTTGATTTCATCTAAAGGCCCGTTCACACGGGATACAAAAGTATCGGTATCGGGCGAGTACTGGAAAAAGTGGTATCGGTGCATGCCTACTTAAGGCTGTGGCTGAAGTCAGTTGTAGTTATTGTGTTTCTCTTTTCTTCAGTGATTCTGCTTGTTAACAGCAGCTGTTCATCACTAATGCTCAATCAGCACTTAATTAA